TATGCCTTGACCCATGTTGGCCTTGTCAGCGGAAGAAGACGGGATATTCACGGAAAAGAACAGAAGGACATATATATTCTCTACTCCAGGCGGGGGCATAAAAGTACTCCCCGTTCTTGTTTGCTGAATTTCGGTTTTTGTTTTCGGACACCCTAAACCCCAACTACTGATCCACGCACCGGGACTGGCCTTGTCAGCGGAACAAGAACCGAAATTCAGCAAACAAGAACGGGGAGTAATATATTCTCCCAGGCGGGCTGGTGGCTGCCATGCACTCTTGCGTCCACGTCCATTAGTCTTTCCGTCTTTTCTGTGAAGATCCCTGCTTCTTCTGCCGACAAGGTTAACGTGGGTCAGTGGTTTAGGGTACTGGGTGCCAAAAAAGAAGGGACCGTCATGGAAAAGACAGAGCGACTAATTTCATGCCCAATGCAACTCTCAACATAAATTCCGACAGTTTGCGACAATGTCACCCAATCAGTATCAATGAATGAAAATTCTCCCAGAACAAAATGGAAAGTCGGCACAGTGGCCATGTCACGTGCCCCTGCTGAGCTCAGGTAGTCAAAAAGCCCAATCGGTGGACGCCCAGCTGACAAAGGCACTTGGGGTCGTTCAAATTTATCAGCTTGCACCAACGCCATAACCTGTCCGTCCAAGTACAGACCCTGTGCGTTCAAGAACGGATACGCTGCAAACCTATGTTGCCAGAGTTGACTTTCCAGTTGAGTCAAGCGGTAGACAGTTTGTTTGTGTGCGCAGAGGCTGAAAGTGAAGGCTCTGCAAGGGTGCTCACCAATGGCGCCCACACCACCCTGTTTCCTCTTTTCTGGGTACCAGGGGCGTTCGGCTCTTATGGCGTCGAATGTACTGTGTTGTGTGCATTCTGTTGTTTCGCCCCCTATCAACACAGCGGAGTGCCAGCAACAGGCCTGCTGGCGAGACATCTGACAAACATGCACCTGCTTGAATGTCTGCACAAGCTGACTGGGATATCCCACACCACAGCAACAGCTCAGTTGCAAGTTTCAATCGAAGTGAATTCCTTGCCCTCAACTTGGAATGATACAAGAGCTACCACAGCCATCGAATTCGTGTCTCACCAACGTTGTGCAGACATTGATTTTGAATACAAATTCAACCACTAAGTTTGCATTGTGGCTGCCAAAACATGGAATCTGCATCTTGTTGTCGCTTCTTCATCCTCTTATTAGTGGATCGCAAGTCATCTGTTCGACATGGATATCTTGTCTTGATCGTGCTTGCTGTGGCTTTGGCAGGTGAACTTTGCCAAGAGTTTTGTCCGTTCTCCGCCCAGCATCGACATTGACAAGATCAACGATTTCCATGAAGTCACTGAAGACAAAATAAATGAATACCGGACAGTTGCGGAAGACTTTTGTATCACTCAGGTCAGCAATGGCAGAGGATGGCATGAGTATTCTATTGCTGCTTTCTGTTCATCAATGGCGATTTGTGCGTGGCCTTGCAGAGAGGCATTGTATGTCTGTTGGTCAGGAAGAACAGCCAAGTTGACCTGTTGGATGACGTTTGACCTGTTAGTTTCAGAAACCAATCTGGTTTGCCACTCAGCAAAATTTTGTCTTTCAAATGTGGCACCTTCCTAAAGCATGCCAGAGCAGCTGCACTGATGCTGTCCCTTTCGCTGTCACTTTGAACAAACACTTGCAGAAGTTTTGACCTGCAGTATAGACAATGTACAATAGATTTTCGACATTATGGCATCTGATGGTTCGAGAAGGGTGAACACGATGGCTCTAGTCAGCCATCTCTGGCAGAGCGTTGTACGTCTGCTTGTATCCTAAAATGGAAACAGATCGAAAGTTGCTTAAATTCATACAAGTGATAGTTGTTGCCCCTCTTATGTGGTGAAGTGCAGAGGAAACCCCCATCTGGAAGGGGCAGTTTGTGCATCATCGTTTTTCTCAGCACTGTCGAAAATCTGACCAGACACTGCTCAACCACCACCCTCTTTAAAGAACGTAATACCATATACACCAATGATCTGAAGCGTTTTGATGCCAGCCATCCGACACACAACACTTTATTGAATGGAAGTGGCACAACTCTATTATCAAGGTCCTCATAGTCCCCAAAACAATGCATGAATGCACCTTGACCAGGAGCACCAACCTCATATGGGGTTTGCCTCTGCTGGAACATTATCACAACGAAATAAAGTCCACACATCAAACATTGTCTGAGCCTGCTTGCAAGAGTGGGGCAGGTCCAACAGTGCGTTGGACATGTCCTGGCCACCAACCCACTTGAGGACACCAGAATGTCTAAATTGGTGTTCAACTCTTGAGCAACATACAAAGCGCTTGCTGTCCCTGCCCTTTTTCATCTTTGATGCAAGCGTCCTTACAACTCTCAGTTTCTTAGGCATCGAATTTGTCCCTTTCTCGGCATTCCCAGAGGCTGGATGAAGAACTCGTGTTCCATCGCGCAACGTTTCCAGAGGCCTGTGAGGATTTCAGTGGCTGGGCATTCTTCTCTGCTCCTTCTGGGGCCTTTAGGTATCACAGGGGCACCGGCTTGGTGCCTAACCTCTCTGGCTGCCTTTGCCTGCATACCACCAAACATTGCCTCTTGCACTTTGTGGGTAACCTGGGGCACGTCAGAAACGTGTGGCTGCACATCATATGCATGCTTGTTTGGGCTTTTCTGTTGTTTGTCATGTGGTGCAAGGTGGTCATAGGTTAAGCAACAGTCAAGGGTCGTTTGCAAACCATTGATTGGATGTTCCATCCTTTCTGGCAGCATGCAACAGCTGTGCTATGTCTTTTGGCTGAATGTACTCCGTGAATTGCTGGGTCATCTGGACAGTTAAGGCTACTGCTGAGCAGCAGCATTGGTCTCAGGGAATGGCATGCTAGTACCCACGCTTTCCAGAGCCAGTGTCACATATCAAATCGCACTTGCAGAGAATCTCTATGCGTGATGTGTGCTTTGGCTCATTGTGAAGGCTTTTGACAACATCAGAACACCCATTGTTCTGGCCATTGGTCTGGCAATTGGTCTGGCCATTGGCATTGTTCTGGCCATGAACTGGTGCTCAGCGTATATGGCATGGGTGCTGAGAATGGCACCTGCATTAGGCACGAAAAAAGCCATTCCCATCTGCCTTGCAGATGTTCACGGATTCTTGAGTGTCTCTAAAACTGTTGTGGCAGTGCTGGTTGTTAGAACAATGACAGACTGATCGGGGCATGTATCTACTGAGTGCACTTCAACAGATGGCATTACTTTGACAAGGTCCTCATGAAGGCTTAACCGAAGAACATCGCAGCCCCATGTCTTGAAACCATTGCTGCCAGCTGTGTAAAGCGGCCATGTAGCATGACTGCAGCACGATGCGTCCGTCTGATGTCAAAACTCATTGCAACAGCAGACATCGCCTTGCTGGTTAACGTGCAGGGCTCTATCAGTTGTGGCAATTGTTGTGAAGTGGAATGTCGCTGTGTGCCAACCTGAGTGTGCAGAATGTGTGACGCAGGGTATGGCCAGGCGTTCTTGCAAGGCAGGGGGGCGGAGACTGCCCAGAATTTGACCCCGTAAGCACATTTTGTGTCTCACGCTGGCAGTGCATCAGCCACCTGCCCTATCCTCTGTTCAGCTGCGTGTACCCATCCAGGAAACGAGCATTGGGACCGTTGACTGCCTGAGTGCGAGAGTGTACTGTTAAGCGGTGACTACTATTGGATAGCAGAACTATAAAGTTGATGCTGTGGACACACCCAAAGTGTAGCTGGTAATGCCTGCAGCGATGAAATCTTTTGCATTGTCCTGGCTTGACTATCAAGGCATAGAGAATCTGTATTGAGTTGACAGCATGGCCTTGTTTGGTGCTGCTACCAGTGCCAGTTTTGGGGCCTTTGTATATGTTTTGCTTTGATTCCAGATCATGGCATCAAAATTCGGAGTCCGAGTGCGTACCTGTCCTGATGGAAGACCTTTTGTGTATTGCATGGCGACAGAGAAAGCGGCCATGGTACCAAGCAGCCAGCAGTGGTCCCAAGAACGCAGTTATTGTTTTGGAGGCATCTGGTGGGCACGGACGCTGCCGGAGTTTTTGTTTGCATAATTTCAAAGAATATCGGTTGAAGGAGCCCTGCGCCTGCATCCAGTGCTTGTATGTTGACAATATTTGCTGCCTGTGCTGATTTCTCTTTGCCAGGCAGGACATGTCTTGAACAGAAATGCACATGTGCATTCTTCTTCGAGTCGACCCTGCAGAATGCCAGAAAGCCACCAGAAATCCACAAGGAGCTCTCTCATCTCCTCCCCTGCTCCTGCTGTCCCCCACCAATCTGACTGATGCCGTGATCTGGCTGGTGCCGTGCATGTGGCTGTTCAAGAGCCGGAGACCGATTTCACGATTGCCAAGGAGGTGACAGAAGCACTGCTGGGGATGTTCACCTTCCTTGACTTCATAAATATTGTGGTCTTCAACGACACAGCGAAGTCGCTGGGCAGCAACATACTGATACAGGCCAAACGAAGGAACGTGGACAGCTTCCTCCAGAGATTGGGTGACACAAAGCTTGCTGGTAATGGCGCAGTTGTTGACTATGGAAATGCGCTCAGCATGGCTTTCAGCATATTCAATCAGTCACTGAATGTGGAAGAACTGGAGGAGCTGGATGATTGCCAAAAGGTAGTGCTTCAATTTGATTGGCTGATTCTGTTTCTGGTTCGGGTGCACTACGTGCTATTCACACTGCCATCTATTGTCACTAGCATCCTTGACTAAAGCAAGGCAATACAGAAATGATACCATAGATGGCCACTGGTAAGGCACTGACAGCGATGCGCAGGCAATGCTTACTGCACTGCACTGCTATTGCCTTCGTGGCAAAAGACAAAGCATACCTTCAGGCACTGATAGATACTGCCTGCACTCTGTTACCCAGACACAGCGGAGAAGAGAAAGGACATTAACTTGGCACCACCAGCGACCTTCGATCCATGCGAGCTGTGCAGAACGATCCTTTCAAGCCTTTGTGTGGTTCAGCCCGCTTGGCCTTGTTGCCTCTGTGCTGTTTCTGGATGTGTCACATCTATGATCACTGGAAAGCAGCCCAGCTGTGCGTTCCTGGTTTTGTTTCTTTTGCAGATCTTGCAAAACATGCACAGCAGAAATGCAAATGTGCATCAAGCCAGGGCGTACCAAACCTGCATTTCTGTAGCTGTTGCCTGAGCTTGCAGTCAAATAATGCCTGCGTGGATTTCCATCTGGTTTCTCATTTGCCACTTTTGGAATCCTGGTTCCTAGCATGTGAACTACTGGATTCATTCCACTGAATTTCGATATTTACTCCCACTCTACTGTCCGTGGCTTCTTTTGTCCAACTGCTGGCGATTGTGTGGCCACAGTGTGGATCGCAAAGGCAGAAGCTGGAATCAAAATAAGCATCCTAATCACCAGGCGAAGTTTGTTTTTGTATACTGGCCACAGTTGTGAGCATTGTCTGCATTTGATCCTTGCGGCTGACAATCGATTGTCTTCCCTCCATCAGGTCATCATATTCATGTCTCACAGCCAGGATTGCAGTGAGACCCCGGGAGCCAAGTGCTCTGTCGCAGATGGTGGCATTACACCAGAGGGGGGTGCCCGCAAGAAACTCCTAGAAAAAATTGAGGAGCTGCAAGGAGCGTTTTCAAACCATGTAGCTTTGTTCACATATTCACTGGGAACACACGGCGACCCTGGTCTACTGCAACAGATGGCCTGTGAAAATGGCGGAGTCTATTCCAGGTTTCAAGGTGTGCATGTATTCCTTCTGGCATGACTTCCACTGTGCTAGGATATGTCATAGCTAACAGCATGCGCTGGTGGCAGAGCACTGTCAGCTATTGGGTGTGATGAAATCGAATATAATCATAGTATAGTATGCCACTGCCCCTGTACCCATTCATCAATATCAGTGTACCTGACTTGCATCCCCTTTGACCATATTTGGCGATGTGGTGCAGATTGTACCTTTGGGCAGCAAGTTCCGTTCTCTTTTCCTGCGACACGTTCACCCTTTTCCCCAAGTCAACATACAACATTTGTTTTCTCTCAGCTTGTATCCATGGAAGAGAATGAATGGCAGTGACAGTGGATGCTCCTTGCCCAAGAGAAGCTACAGTGGCATGGCTCATAGGTACACACCTTGTATGCTATGTGCTGTGCGCACCAGAGGGAACTTTGTCAAACTGAATTTTCAAAATCTGTCAGAATGAGATTTAGGATTCCAGTTTACTTCATGCATGCGGTGCAGACCGGCATCGGGACCCCCTCGTGCCCATCAGTGCTTTCTTTCACTTTGTTTCCCTGGCTTATGCCAATGAAGACCCCATATGGAGCGAGCCATACATTGATGCCTTTGGCCTTGGAGAAGTCAGCTCTATCACAATGCCCATTTTTGCTGTGGAGGGCAATGGCAACGATCCACCAAGATGTTTCATTGGTGTCGCTGGGCACGATGTGCCAACGAACGACCTAGACCCTCGCATGCACATCAATGATGTGATCAACAGTTTGTCTGACTCACGGAGGTGTACAAAGAAGGGTGGGCCTCAAGATGCCTGCAAATTGCAGGTAGACTTTGGTGCCCTCATTATGCTGAGTGGCTCATGCAGCGTACCTCTTGTTGCATATTGTCTGAGGATCTCTCAGCATTGTCGTCCATGGTGAATATCATTTCAGACCATGAGCTTGCATGCAAGCTTCGTACTGCAAAACCTGTCTGCATGGGACAATAACACCAATGGCGAAACAGGCGACTGTATTTACATGATGAGGTTAGTATGTGCACAGCCATCTATTGAATAGGCTGCTATTCTTGCCACGACAATACTGTGAACGCGAACCAAAGTTCCCTGAGTGCAGTAGGTGATGCATAGCCACCGAATAACATGATATGCAAGAAAGTGTGCAGTTAGGGAGTTGTTACGTCTACACTGGCATATTCAAGATCACGAAATTCTCTGCTCTGCAGCAGTAGCCAATGCACAACTTCAGCACATTTGCACAGCGATGTCTAGTCTGCTCCACTCAAGCTATTCGCTTTTTCCACATGTGATATCAACTTACACAATTGCATAGGCATTTTGTGTTGGTCTATGTGGGTACTTTGTTCTGCTGTGCTGCTGCAAAAGCATGGTGGAGTAGACTGCAGCCAATGTCTGCTGACAGCACCGCTTTGTGAGAAACATGAGGTACCAATTTAAAGGCTGATGCAAGCATTCCAATGTTTGGCTGTTTCCCAGGATCTACGGGGAGAACATCATCAGTGCCAGGCTCGTTTGAATTTGTCTCGATGTTACAATTTCACGGATCGTTCTGGTGAGCCAGCACTCTATACAATTCCAGGAGATGTCACCAAATCGGGGGCCTCACAATTGCTAGATTTTAAAGCCGCAAATACAAGTTGCTCTGAGAAGGGCGGTCGCTTGGCTGTTGTGGACACCCTTGCAAAACAGCAGTTCTTTTCGGGTATTGTCCCACCAGATAGGTCATGGATAGGTTTGACAAGAAGCGAATCTGTGGGCGAATGGAGATGGGCTGACGGCAAGGCAGTCAGCAGTGAAGCACTGTCCAGGCTGTGGATCTCAGAGGATGCCCTGAAGGATGAGCAGGATGGGGATCGCTGCGCGGTCCTGGATCCTGGATCGACTGTGCGGAATGTGCGAGGGTCCAACTGTGACCAGCTGTTGAGCTTCATTTGCGAAATTCGTGACCCCAACAGCACGGAATGTCAGGTGGGTGCGGTGTGGCTGAGCAGGTGGCAGATGTCCTGCATTGGGATCCTCGCTCTGTTCTCACAAAGCACGCGTCTTCCTTTCAGTGCATGCTCAGGTTGCGTAAGCAATTTGGTCGCTGTCCATGTTGCTTGCAGGGCCATTTGGTGCCTGAATGCTGATTGTCGACATGCACAGGAGAGTACCATGGCTAATATATCGTCTATCATATTTGTTTGACAAACTGCAGTACGTTGAAAAAGCGTCAACTCGGCCCTTTGGGGGGGGGAAGGATCACGACCCCGAAGTTCGGGCAGGCATCAACACAGGTGCTTGGCTCACGTGGAAGCTACTGCCTTTGCATCCAATGTACAGGTCCTCCAGTGCTAAATTGGTGGCTGCGAATCTGACAGGGTGCATTTGTTACTGATCAGAGTGTGCTTCCATGGTGCTTAACCCGACTTGAGGGCCTAACCCGCTCCTGAACCCAACTGCAAAAGTTTGTCGAAATGAAGGTTCTGTATCCAAAACATGGGGAATGGGATGATGGCCGTGCCACTCTGCTCAAAGCCAGTTCAGTTGCGGTTTGACTTGGCCCTTGAAACCCGTGTGCAGGAATTGACCATCTGATTGCCTTTTGCTCCAGGGAGAAATTGAATCTGTGTTGTACGAAAATCTGACGGAAACGATCGGGGGGAAATTGGAGCAGCTGCAAAATGAAGAGGGTGGTCCCCTGTGCGAAGTTTTCGATGACTGCGGATTTGAAGAAGTGCCCATAATGCAGGATGTGGTTTGCCCACTGGGGACCACCCGAGATTATGAATGTTGCGAATGCACTGGGGAGGCAAACCCTTAGCGCTTGACCAAGACGTCCTCGTTGGCCACGGCCTGTCCACTTGAGTGTGAACGACGTGCAGTCCCCTGGCGTTGTGCTTTCGTTTTGGGTGCGCACGTGCCATGACATTGGTGTTATCGATGTTGATGGAGCCGTACCTGGAGCCGATTCCGGCTTTTAGGCGTTTGGATCTGCTGTATTCGGGCCTCATACATTTGTTTATGAAGTCCAACAGTGTGGGACGTGGTGAAGAAGCCATCTGAGGTGCAATGCGAATGATATGTTTGGCAGCGGTGAGGCCCACGGAAGTTGACAGCGTGTGGAGGAGAGGCTCGCTTGATGCCATTGTGATCTGTACACAAGGGGTGTTCTAGGTAGATGCCATCATGTTGTTTTCCATGAACGTCAGTAGTATATTCATTTCAGATCAGATTTGTGCTCTTTCTGTGATGAACTGGGGGTTGGGTTTTAGAATATTTATCTGGTGGTGGTGCAAGGAGGAAAATGTTCGCCTGGCTCATGCTTAGTGATTGAGAAACTGAAACTGATCATGTCTCGTGCCATTTGTGCTGTGAATCATGTGGCATTGGTCCTAAACTTCGCGAGAAGCGCTGGCCTCCACAGCGCAGAGCTGCGACACCAATGGGCTTGTGAGATGTTTGACTACGAGTCGCTGAACAATGGGGTGTTGTGTAGAACTTCATACATCGGAGGAAGTTTGCGGGCCGGCAATAAGTCCTTCACGCGCGATCGCCGCAATTGATGCTCTTAGAAATGCATCACTGTGGCAATGGCCCTTGCTGACTCAATCCTTCATGCTTCAAGTCTTATGGCCCTCCCTGCGTGGGATGCCACATGTCGTGTGTAGCACGCAGCCTGTGGCAAGATGCGCATGAAATTTTAACGGCCTATTCAAATCCGCAGCTCATGAAGAGCGACAAGAAAATCGTGTGTCAATGGATAGGACGAGGCTGTGTTCCGAAGCAGACGACGAATGGTGTGGGGCGGCAAAGAGAAACAAAAGGCGTGGACGAAACTCCCCTGATTGCTCCCCGATCAAACTGGAACCGGGCCAGCAACTGTTCCTGTGGCGAAACTGTGCAATATGCACGACATATACAGTCCACCACAGAGTGTGCGTCCCCAAGAAAGAAAAGAAACCGATGGGTGCAAATCGTCGCCACCTGTGTTGCGAGGCTTGATATTCGAGTTTGGTGACATCATCACACTGGGGGATTGAATTGTGGCGACCACTGTTTCGTTTCAACGTGTGCGAAAAGCCGATGGACGCTCGTGGTGGGGTGCTGCACCGGTGCACATGGTGGCAGTTGTCAGCTGCGACAGTGAATACTCAACGAGCGGAAGGCAGCGCTGAATGTGAAACCCCCAGAACGACTTGCTGTTTTTCTGGTGCCTTTTCACACACAACGAAACAATGCGATCTTTCTTCTCTACAGAGTCTACATTTCCTAGAAATGTCAACTAATGAGAATTAGTTCAGTCGAATTGGACGGTAGTAATGCGTCCTTTGCCCAGGGCAAAGTGCACTAGTGCTTGTTAAGCACCCAACTCTAAGAGCGCCGTGTGGTGGTCCTCGGGGAGTTCGTTTGCAGCACTGAACTTTAAAGTTCAAATATTTGCAGTGCTCGTCCTCTTATTCACAGCCCTGACGCCGCCGCTGGGGCGCCGCACCACGTGCTTTGTGTGATCGCGATCGCGAAACTGGATTCACAAGAATTGCGATGGTCCCATTGCGGTTGTGCTGATCCATGTTGATTGTGCAGCCCATCCATAACGCATTCACCCTGTAGATGGCTTCCACGGGTGGTTGCAACGTCCTTTTGGGGGGCATCTCAGCAGTCTTGAAAATAGAAGTGTTTTAAAAAGTCAGCCCCGCAGCATAATGTGCGGTTCAACGTCGCTTTTTCTTTGCTTGAGAATGGAGTGTTTACAGGAAATCCAGGGGTAAAAGGCCATAGCGGCAGAGGCTCTGTTGAACTATCAAATGAAAGCAAAGCTTCGCTTCATTTTAAAATGAGCTTCAACTTAGGCACAAGGGATGCCATTGCTCGTCCATGCTCCAACAAGGCGTGGCTGAGGGGGAGCTACATCATCAAACACCAACGCCCCATGGTGTGTTGAGTGAGATATATCAATTCTGGGAGCACACATAATCGAGCCGCATAGCCAAACTTCATGAATTATAAGATGCAAAGTTTCACCGGTTGCCACTGTTGAGGTGACACAATTTGCATACGTTGAACCTGCGGGTAAATCCGACGATGCTTTAAAACTAGTGCTGTTCTCTGGCTTATCGGCATTTGCAAAACAATATGTTTGAAGCTGATGCCTTGCAGCGTAGACTTTTGTTAAGGAATCTACAAAGGGAGATGAATTGTAGAAGTTGTCATGCGCAACTTGGACCAACGTAATCAAAACAGCACGACCTAAGACTTAATCTTTTAATTTATTTATACAATGCTGCACAAAGTATTTATACAATGTTAGTGTGGTCAAATCACCGTACCAAATTATTCACACGGTTAAAAGATATTAAACTCATTTGTCCAGGCATCCCACCTCCATGGCTGGCCCCCTCTCCAAGTGATGAGGGCCGGCGCCCCCAAGGTACCTAGTCCTTGGGCGACACCAGCCCACTTTGCCGATTCCATGGATGAGCGGATGAGCGCCAGCTTGACCTACCTCATCTTGAGTACCGTCAGCGCCCTCAACGTAGTCCGCCTCAAAGCATGACCTGCATGGCACTGTGCGAAAGCACAACAGTTTTTGAGCAAAGCAATAAGTTGATGGAGAGCTCCAGCCACGGGTGACTGTGACGTCGGCCAGAAATTATAGGGTCGCTGCGTAGCGAGCCCCATTTTTCATAGGCGATTAAAACACACAAACACTTCCCAATGGGGAACGAATATTTTCAGGGCGCGTGGTACATTTGAGTCATTTGCCAAGTCGAAAACACGTCGCTGTCAACTCCTACATTCTTCCAATGCGGAGAAGGCAATTGCAGCCAATTTTGTGTTGGCATTGGAAGTCGAGATGAACGATATAGATGGAGATGCACGAGCGTGACTCGCCCATGCTGAATCAGCCAATAAATGAATCAACTCATTATCCAACTTTAGGGCCAAGGCAAAAAGGCAGCAATCTGATCCTTGCTTTTCTTGTGAAAACAGTGCGAATGGCTTTTTGAGTCAACCCTACCCCACCCAAATTTGGGTGTGGACGTTTAAACACCGCCCCAACACAGTCAAAATTGCGCAGGTTCTATTGTCCAGGAGACACCGTCTGTGAAGCTACATCAAAAGAAGTTATTTGCAACAAAACTCAAATTGGCAATTCACAGCAAGACCAAGAAATAGGCAAGGAATGCAAAATCTGTGACTGGCATGGGCCCTGTGCATGCGGCGGTGCGTTTGCAATACGACCACCCACTGAGGGATAGGCCAATATTAGTGGAAACCGATGTGTCTGCCGTCGCCTTTCATGTGCAAGGGCTTCACTTTTACAAGTACATGTATGACCTATCATGCGCACTTCAAAATTCAAGCAGCAAGCAAAAAATGCGCATTCTTTTACACATGCGGCCAAGTTTCTTATCGATTTGTAGGTGTGGTTGTGGAGCACTGGTGCTCAATCCACCGCCCGGCGGTTAATGGCAGCCTGAAACGAAAGGGAACTCAAAAGAAATCCAAAGATTCAGTTTTTCGCGCCATTTCCTTTGCCAACAGGTCTCTTCGGCGTCCAGCCCCATTCCTTTCGGGGCACAGAACAACGGCGCCGACGCTCACACACGGGGCGCACGAGACCTGCCGCGACCCATGGCCCCCACAGGCTCGCCATGCTGCCCCAACTGCCCCTCCCCGTTCAGATCTTCGCCGCCGCTGTGATCTTTTTCCATTTATCAGAGTTCGCCCTCGCCGCGATCTACATGCGCTCCAGCCTCTCCTGGACATGTGGGTGGATCCCCCCTGGGCAAACGCACTGCGAGCTTGTCATGTCCCCGCCCTCTAAATTCATTGCTCGCGTGTGACACAGAAAACACTATCATTGCATTAGAAATGCTAGACAGGCCCCAAATGTATTCGCACTGTTCGATTCTGTTTGCCAATGCTCCTCCAAAAATTTGCCCCACCCGCTGGGCTGGGAACCCGAACACAGGTATGCTACCGGAACACAGGCTTACTCAGAAATTTATAAGTTGTTATAGCTGGGCCACTTTCAGACGCAGGGGTGTGTTGGACTGGATGCATAATGCGTTCACCACGCTTTCCAAGAGCGAAGACTACTGTTTGCCTTGAAACTGAAAGCACTGTGAGATTTCTGACCAAGAGTATGCCAACAAATACTTATGGAGCAAACAGAGTGGTGAAATTCTTGACGATTGATCTCATGAAGAAATGGAGGTCTTGACTGTTGCACACATACATGGACTGTTGGTGTCTCTTGGATCGTAGCAGTTCTGGGGCAGAAAAATGCAGAGTAGCCAGCTATGTGTATACAGGAATTGTACTGTATGATGCATTGATGAGATGGTGACATCTATGTGACTTGACAATCTGTGTGTCCATGTGAATGTAACGAGTATCAATCTGACTGAGCAGGGATGAAATTGGGCTCGTCTTTGCCTCAGCAGGTGCAAAGCAGTGGTTTGTCATCTATTAATACTCTGCAACAAAGTGAGAAATTATTGACACATGTGCACGCTGCTGATTTTTCTGCAGCATTTCTCATCAGCACACCATATTGTGTTGCCATGGCTCTTGCACTTGCTGAGTACACAATCGAGGCAGCTCTGGTCCCAGCTATGAAAGAACAGGTATGTTTCGAGTTCAAAAAAATGAAAGTGGAATGTAATGCCTACCTCTGCTGAGAATGTTTGATTTTGTGTCAGAGCACAAGGTGCCGTTTGCAAACCCAAAATAAAAGTTTCCTCAGTTCTTGCTCCAGGTAAAGTGGATGCGAGTTTGTTGAAGGCTTGTTGGTTGCATGGGCATCCACAATGTGTTTCCTGCTTGGTATGCTGATAGAGCCAAACTACGATGCTTGGCTGAGCTAACATGTTGTGTCATGCTCAGTGCAGGGAGTTTCAATTCGACAGGTAGCTATCCTGTGCCATGGATATGGACAGCATTTTCCAGCGCATCATTGCAGGCATCTGAATTGTAGCACACTTGGGTGATGTATCTGCTGAAGCACAGCACTGCTCAGTCTCCCATCAGCAGCCACCAATAATTGATGAGCAGGAGCAAGCTGGGAGGCAGTCCAGAGTTATTTGGTATTGCTGGCAGGTTGCTAAGCACCATACATATCATACGATCATGGGCACAAGCTAATTATTTGTATGTAGCAGGCGTTGCTTTTGCATGCATCGAAACCAATTACATCATCGCTGTCAACAAGATGTACCAGATGTAGTAGAAAAACACAAGTGTGCTGTGAACAGTTGGTCATCTGGGTTGGACTGGCGCTGGTGGTGGTTGGAGATGCCATAAGGAAAACAGCAATGGTAAATTGGCGTGCGCTGAGAGTGTGGCAGCTGAAAAGAATGCTGGAAGTATGCCAGCGATTGCTACAAGACTGCAAGCTGGCTTGCAGTGAGGCTGCCCCTGGCCATTGTGCATTATATTGTTCTACACTGAAGGGTGATTGAAAGTGGCAAGTGCACCAGAACGTCAGAAACAGGTTGCATATCATGGACGTAGGTGTCCAAGATATGGCCATTTCCTAGGATAGGGTAGCCCATATCCTAGGATGCGAGCGTCCATATCCAGGATATGGCCGTATCCTGGGCATGCATATCCAGGATGATATCCATATTATAGTGCCCACATACGTTCTCTGCCCCATGTTCATGCAGTCTATTTGAAACACAGAATTCGTTGCAAAACGCCCTTAAAATCAAAGAACGAGGGGACAATCGGAAAGATTGGGTCCCAAAGCCCTTAAATATATATTTCCAAGAAGAACAGAAACCCAACCCCTGAGCGTTGGACGAAAGGAAAATTTTGGTCATGTTTGAGCTAAAAGTTCGAGGTTTACTTGGTAAAAGACACTTGCTAAAAACTGATGCCATATCCACACTTCCTAACGGATTGACTTAAATTTTGGACCACACACTTACAAATCATAAACACCGGAAAGATATTTCGCTAAAACTTATCTCTCCATGGTGTAAGAATCATGCGCCAGAATCATAAAATGACGTTAATGTGCGACAGAGGAAGTACTGATCGAAATCCAGGATATGTGATTTTGGTCGGCAAAGACCCGAGGGACAAGAAAAAACGAATGCCTGGCTGCTATTTGTCCATGGTCAGGTCCTTGAGGCGATAATGTAACAGCTGTGTCAGCTCTGCACCGTCATCCTGAAATGGGTAGCAGCCAACAGGTCCTGATGTACTGCTGATGAGATCATCTGCACGGCTTTCATCAGCCCTTGACATACTGTCGCGTTTGTGGAAGATCTGACAAAGTGGAATGCGTCCACTCCAGCGCGCTTTTCCAGAGCAATCCTGGCAACGCAAATCATGGTTCGAATGATCAGACCTACCGCAGCGTTAACGGTTGATGGAAGGTAACAAAGGAAACAGAGCAATACCATGCTGCCCTCAAGACAAACTCCTGAACATATTCCCCACTTTGCGTGCCAGTCCGCCCTGGGATACATATCTGGCAGACTGCATTTGCGAGCCAGGCTCAAAATGCGCAAGTGCTTTGATACGCATGGACAACCTGATGCCCGCAGGCCGCAGGGTTTGGAACCATGATGTGCTGTGGATTCCCGTCGCATCCAAGAGGTCTGATTGGCGGCAATGAGATGCCCAATGTGTGCAGAAAGGGAAATTACTTGCGCAACCCCTCCTTGTGCTGCTCCTTTGATGGTGTGCCAGAGCGGCTAGCACGAGCCGCTGTCTTGCTGTTCTGCTTTGGGTGTATGCTTCAGAATTTTTACAGAATTTGGGATACTCAAGAAGCGACATGGTTGAAAAATGCTCGGTGAAATAGCTGAAAACTTCAAGGCGGTGAGGTGCTGACACGCATTGTGCCGTGTCGGCAAGGTTACTGCAGGCAGCAACTTCACGCACGCGCTATTGAAGGAGCATCACGTGGAGCACAAGCTTGTTTCTCATGGGATCTACAGGTGACGACTTAGAGGATGTTCTGCCAGCCTTTGACACCGTGGGAAGGCTCCAACCGTTTCGCATAGTAGAATTGGTTCCTTGGGTGTCGCCTCCCGAATTTCACAAATCCCAGACTGTGTTGTGCTGTTTGGAATGGACCCATATTCTTTCTCTCTTGTTGCCAGATGGCTCCCATGAACCGTTCATGTTGGCATCATGCATTGTCAAAATGCTGTGGCAACGTTTGAAACGTAGCAACTGGAGAGAAATGTAAATTGACAGGAGTTACAGGTCCAGGACCTTTTCCAATGCGTACATGGTGCTGAAGATGACACCTGGAAAGAAAGGTGCGCTCACTTACAAGAGAGGCGGTGCCCTCGTGGCGGCCAGTGCCTGCAGCAGACGGAGCTGGTCGTTTAGGACCGCCGTGCTCGCATTGCCGAATTCGGAAGAAATTACGCCCAAACACTCACAGGGCGGCGGGAGGCAGCTGTCCAGCGACGTCTGCATCTGCTTGCCACAGCAGTTTTGGCTATCTCCCGCCACATGCCGGCGCTCAGTACAACGCCGGCCACGGCCGAAAATATGCGCAGATCCGCGTTTCCTTACAAGGGGCTGCGGAAATCCGCAATATGCATATTATGCGATTTTGGCGCGTCATGGTCCTTGCAACTGTGCATTGTGCAGAGCCTAGAAATGTTCACAGGAATGTGACTAAGATTAAATCGCTTGGCTCGTTCGTATCGCACTTTGCATCACACGCGCGTCAATGTACTTCAGCAGCTACTTCCTCCGTCCGGAATTAATTGTCCTCTATTTGAGAGACAAAATTCGTTACAAAGGACACTTTGAATTTACCAAAAAATCTCAGAATCGGAAAGATTGGGCTGCAAAACCCTTAACTACCAATTTTCAAGAAAAATTAATTAGTCCCACCCCCTCTGGATGGCCACCGAAATTGGCCGAAAATCGTCCAGAAAGTGTGTGTGCAAATTCCGCACCTGCTAGAGAACCACACGTTTCTGGGTCGTTTCTGGCTATCCTTGGTGCGCTAAAGATAAGTCGTTGTTGTCCTTGCAGTGAAGGGCGGTGTCCCTTACGTGGAATAGCACTTGCTAAACACGCACGAGCGTGTATGGATCCCCATCGTGGAAGGCCATTTTCATAGTTTTGACGATTTTTCAAAATCTCGGCCATCGTCGATCTTTGGCGTGCGTACGTAAAGCAAGCGGACAAGGCTAGGGTACAAGGTATTCAAGCTTGGGCTATGTGCGAGCTATTGTTCCAAGGTTATGTAGTAGACTTGTTTGGACAATCTGCCTCGATTGAGGTTTGAATCGTTGTTTTTGTGACCAGACTGGCCCACACCCCACAAACTGCCATGATCTGCCAATTCTTGCATGCAATCCACAACCTGTCGCAGCCCAGCAAGTGCATTTCCCTTTGAGAGACATAGTTTTATCTATCTAGCTAGTCTTCTCAAGCTCAAGCCCTTCAAGTACCAAAAAATGGTCGATTCACTATTCCTATCCAGGAGGGTCACTACCTAATTGCCACCTAATTACCCCCTAATTGTCCGCCGCTGAATAGGGTGATGGCCACCACCTTCCTAAAGGTCTACAAGGAATTTGGGAGGCCTCTTGCAGTATCCCTCGTAGTGGAGTTGGAGGTCCAAAAGTCGTGGTTCATAAATTTGGACCTGATGGGCATCTCTGATTTGGCCAATCGAACTTGAATTGCAGCCGCAAGACACGGCAACTTCCATGATCAGGACTTTCAAGACACATTTTCTGTTGCCCTTTTCCTTTGCCAGCACCTCCATGATCTTCTGTCCAAATGGCATGGATAGTTTTGCCGGGCGGCTCTGTACCGCTGCCGCAAAGGCGTGCTCCTCAAAACAGCGAAAATGGCCATTCCAGCAGGGATGTTGAAAAACTGGTGGGATTCTGGCTAGATGACGCTTGCTACAAAGTGCTGCCAAATCCACAATACTCAACGGATTGACTTGAAATTTTGACTGCATACTCTTAAAACATAGGCTTAGTTTTGCAAGAAATTTGAATGAGAAATGGAGTACTTATGATAGAGAAATAAGGCACCAAATTCATAGAGGACAATTAATTCCGGACGGAGTAAGTATAAGGGAATTAAACGAATGGATCAGACTCAAACGGAATGCCAATGTGTGAAACGAGGTAGGCGCCAAGATAACCAATGCGTTTCCAGGGCCGAGTTCGGATGCCCTTCGCGTTCCCGAGCTGCTTGCTTCATAGCGCGCCTGCGCCCGCCTCCCAGCGAGCAGCCACGCAGACAGCCAATGCGCCGCGGCGTCCTGCCAAAATTCTTGCTGTGTTTGAGCGCGAATGGCACCCCTTCCTTCGCCCTGCTGCTGTGTCTGAGCCCGAGGTGACGAGCGTGGTGTGTCGCCATGCGCAGCTACGTCCGGCATCCGGGTTACCTGGGATGGTGGCTGTGGGTGATGGGGACGCAGCTGGTGCTTGCCAACCCGGTTTGCTTTGTCCTATTTGCCATCATCGTGAGTGCCGGGGCGCCGCGTAAGCTTCAGCGAGGTCAAATGCCTTGGCATCTGGAGAAGACCGACGCGGAGATATTTCGATTTCTGTGTCTATCAAGTCCCCATTCACACCTCCTGGCGTTAACCAAATCCGGCTGTGCGTTTGGGCGCCCCGCCACCCCCCTTTTTGAACATTCTGCCGTATGGTCGGGAGCACTTTCCGCTGCAGAAGAATTCAGCAAGTAGTTGTTCTGGAGGTGTGGACTACTAATTGATTGAGCAGGGATGCACCTAACGACAGGCGTAATATCTTCGAATTGGCGAACATGATGGCCATGCCTACAGGGCAGTCTTGCTGTCAACATTTTTGTGTATTTAAATCCTGTATGCGTTGCTTGTACGTGGATCTTGCACTTGCCGAATCAGCTTGGTGCCCGTCGCCATTCCTCACATTCGGCTGCCGCCATGTCTGACATGAAAAGTTTTGTGGACCAAACAGGTGTGGAAGTTCTTTTCACTCAGAACTGAGATCGAGGAGTCCCATTTGCGCGATTTCTTCCCTGGCGAGTATGATGAATACGTGAAAAAGGTACCAACGGGTGTGCCAGGTTGGCCTGGACCGAGTGCGTACCAGTATCATTGATGAGCTCAGCTCACGAGATATCCCTTCCATCCGAGGATATGCATCTGGTCAAGACATTCTATTACTCGTTGTATAGCTTTTGCGGCGCAATTGTGGGGCTCAGGAAAGTGTTCATTCATTGGTTTGCTGAGGCGAGGGCAATGCACTGTTAATGTGGACAATTGTAGCGGAATCACACCAGCAGGGGAGGAACTGATGCTGCCAGAAAATAGAATAAGTATTGATGGTCTATTTCAACGGGCGTACGCTGTACATTGTGGAGATTCATTCCATTCTCGGGGGATGTGAAGAATGAATGCAAAATACGTAGTTGTCGACAATTGGATGACGAAGCCCTGGGATTCACTGGCACCGCCTTTCCTCTGCGAAACGCGGGGCTGGTGGCTGCCTCCTTTTGTATTACGTGGAACACTTTCGATTGATTGATTTGCGTTGTGCCCTCCGGCGCATGCGCCAACACTCGTGCCATGTTTGCAAGCACCCCGTTGGGCATAACATTGCCGGACCGCTAGCACCACCTTTTGCTACTTTATGGTCGCGTCCTTGCCAGCACAGTTTGCGTGAATGCAACTCACCGGTCGAAAACGCCCCCAACAAGTAGACAATCACAGGACCTGGCTCTGTTGGTACCGCATGCCTCACCGTCAAAGCATGAGCCCGAACAATTTGAGAAGATATGAACACCGAAAGAGGCCACGGCAACTGGCACATTGTTCTCCAGAAATCGAAAGGTGGCCGCTGCTTGCAAGGCACCCTTGCTGGCGACAGTCGGCGCGCAAAATGGTGGAAGGGGCGGATGGCTTTCATGCCTCGAGAGCTCCTCATTGCCCTTGTCTCACGGGCGGGCAAATGGCGCTTGTGTTGCAACCCGAGAGGTGCTTTTCAAGGTTTCAGGACACAACGGGGCAACACAAAGGCTGGCGGCCCCTCCCGGCGTGGATCTAACCGCATGCATATTGTCTCCCGTGTAGAGTGCAAACGGCAAGCCGTTGCTTTAGTTGAAGGACCGTGTGAGCTGGCTACCCCTCGCATTTGAAATATCTTTGCTTGTCTATTCCTGCATGTACTTACTGCCTCCAATGTCGTGAAACCATTTACACTCTACGCATATGCAGAAATGTTCCGAACAGAAGCTTGGGATTTCACGACATCAACTTAATCACGTTTGGTGCCTTATCTTTAAATGATTGCCGATAAGCCAGCACGACCAAAGCACGGAGCGACGCTGTGCGAAGGAAAAGTGCAAGGCTGTGCCGGTGATGTGCTGGACGCGTGTGCACAAAGTGCAATATATTGAGGCCAACTCAGCCGAACTGCTGCGTTCACCAACGTACTTTAGTGTGGAATTCTAATTCGCAGCAGCAACCTTCCAACGAGGCCAGTGGTCTACCAGCGTATAAAACTGCTGCAAAAGCATACCATGGCACTGGGAACAATATGGCCGTAGCTCTCTCTACAATACGCGTAGGCAGAACCATGGGAAAAACCCAAACGTCGGGTCTCAGCCCAGACGAGAGCCCAGAACCTGAATATCACGCATCCCCCTATAATATAATCAGCACAATATGCAGGGTCCATGAAGTATGCACAGTTGTTTAATACGAATGCTTAGGATCGCCGGCGGCCGAATCTCCCCAATGACAAGGCGGCAGCGTCTCATGGTGCCAATTCCATGCCGTCGCCTCGTCACGCGGACCCGTGTGGTAACGTTACCAGCAGAATTAACAGTTAACAGTTAACATGTTAACAGCAGAATTAAAAAGCTTCTCCTTTCCAGAGGGTCGCAGTATTTCGGCACGGCAGAGGGGATGAACACCATTATCACACTGCGCCCCAGGGCAGCGAGGAAGAAGAATGAATGGACATTCAAATGTGTTTGCATGCGCGGCAGAATGAGCCCACACTAGGAAAACACAGGCCAGATATACGGTTTTGAAAATCGCGTACCGTGTAACACGATTAAAAATCGTGTGAAAATCCAGGTAGATCGTGTATTTATTAAGTACTTACCGTGCAAAATGAGACCAAACCGCGTAGCAACCATTGAGTGAGTGTACATGATTTTTGTACTTTCGACGCCGTTTAACACGGTTGTACACGGTTGGAAACCTTGTATTTTGTCCGATTTTTTACTTGTGCCACATGCAACATTGTTCGCCAGGCGCCTCTCCTGGCGTGTCGTTGCGGCTGTGAATCGTGTGCCGCGGCTGTATCCTGACTCAGCACGCAATGAAAAGGAAGTGTTTCCTCAACTTTTTCTCCGTGTTGCGAGAACAGAATTCTCTGTTCCTCTAATTCTAATTATTACTCTAATTCTAATAAGATTCTCTGTTCCTGGAGCGTCCCAGTTCCTGGGCAAATTTTGCCCCTGATCCGATTTCAGTTTCTTTTGCACGTGAACATGGCACACGTCAAGTTGGCTCCATGGGATCTACTTCATTCTCATGAGTATTTTGGAACAGAGGATAATGTAACACAGGTCTTGCCCTAAGAGTTGGTAATAATTTATGGTCAATTTGAAGACTTGCTAGTGCAATACTGATCGCCTGGATAAAAAAAATCGAGGAGCAAATTGGACAGCATTGATCCCCTTGGTCGTGATGGCATATTAGGGGCTCCTATGCTTGGAACTTGCAGACACTAGGTAAGCCGGTTTGATCATATCGACTTTGTGAAATTTCGCATTCTGATGCACAGCAACACAATGGTTGGATTGTGTCAATATCTTGGGCTCGCATGGAAAGTACCACGGACAGTGCTTTGCTCGGGCGAATTAGGAGCTGATGGCCACCCCACGCCTGGATATGCAAAATTCCGTGATGAAGAGGGCTGTCTTGAACGCGCGCCTCCTCATTAAGTCAAGGGGGCAGGAGCTCCACCAAGAGGGTTCGGGTGCGCTGGGGTCTCCTGATGTGCGCCAGCATGGGGAGTCACGTCGATCAAGCATGCATACATGAAGTTGCAGAGAGGCAACTGGCGGGCTGAGGCCCACTTCGCCGAAACACAGGCCCCTCCTCTACGGCAGGGACAATACTATATCCAGTCCCCTAAGTTGCTGGTGCCCATCAACCATAGTAGATAAGAATTCCCCGCATGTTCGATGCATGTCATTGAGGGGGCGAGGCGCGTGGGGTGAGGGCTGTGGGCGCGGAGCGAGGATCCACGGCAGGCAGGAGTGCGAGGCGGTGCCCAGTCGAGACTCTCGGCGCTGGGGACGTGTACGGCGGCTGGCGCGGTGAATCACTGAATCATGTCTCGAGATTGGATGTTCTGCCCCATATCGGGCCAGCTCCTGGAGATGGACCCGACACGGGGGGCGGTGTGCGAGCTCTCCGGATACAAGAAGGACTTGGATGGTGCGCATCGAGAACCGCGGCGAGGGCCTTCTGGCATTGTCGTTGCCTTGGGTGTCACGGGTTTTCATTTTCATGCGCCAAGTTTCTTCGATTCAGCAACGCGTCGCTAGCCGTGAGAAATTTGCGACGCAATTCTGAGGCAGCGAAAAGCATCCTGATCTCCGTGGAGGAGAAATGTTGGACAAAATGAAAGAAGCAGATTGTGCTAATCCTGTGTCATGAGGTCCCCAGTGATCCCTTGAGGTGGCTGTTCACGTGTGGTGGGCTGTACGGCAAACACGCCACTGTTTATTTCGGAGGCAATCACCACCCAGTTGCCAAATTTCAATTCGTTGCGTCCCCACCAGGAGCCAGCACTTGTTGGTGCAATTGTTCTTTTGCACAACTTGGGTTGGGCATCCGAGTGGATGTCTTTTGCAATTGGAACATATAGTTGGTTGAATGGTTGGCACTGCTCTTGTGTCAGGCGTTGTAACTTTCAAGCCAGCAGTACTGTAGGCTGCTTGATTGTGAGTAGGAGTAAAGGCACACACAATCTTGTTGTCAAGCAAATGCACAACAGTGACTGACGAGCCCAGATGGTGTGCAGTAATGTAGCAATGGTTTCAAATTGTATTGTGGCTGCTTTGTTCATCAAGCCTTGGAAAACAGAACAAAAGATTGTACGTGCAATAGCACAAGCAAGCATGTTTCTGACTAAAAACGCTGCTGACATTTTGGGAAAGCTCAATTACTCGCTCAAAACAGCTCAACACAGGATCAATGCAGACTGTAGAATGTTCTTGGTGTTGTGAACTATGTTGCAAAGTATGTGAAAGTCTAATATTGTAGGTTGTGTCTTGTTCCCAGCGGTGGCAGTGGTACAGGCATATAAGCGGTGTGGTGTACGTTCAAGTCGTGGTTTCTGATATTGTAAATGTTGAATGATCTTGCCAGAGCTGAAGAACCTGAAGGTCGTCAGCATCACAGATATGGAGGTGGGCCAGCAACACAAGGCAACATTTTGGTGTGGGCCAGACTCTTCTTTGTGTGTGTGCCATTGTCTCTCTGGGGATGGATAATTGGCAAACAACTTCAAAACATCACAGCATTTCCCTAGCAGCCAGTGGCTTTGTGGAGGACCAGAGTGCCAAAACTTGATCCCAAACTTCCGATGTGATGGAAATTTTTCCTCTGCACAATTGGACAGAGCTCTTGCACCCCAGAACATCCATGGGCATGGCTGCATCGATATTGTTTGTCCTCAGAACGTGCTGTGACTCAGAAATATACAATGTCCACTTGGGTATGGCCTGAACAATGGCCTGCTGGGATGCGTGCCATCTGGGTGTACAGTGTTGAATTCGCTGGTTGGAAGAGAACTGCAGTGGTTGCTCCTCCTGGGTGGTGTCTGCCAAAGATAGAGGTACCCAAGAAGTGCATATATCAATTATGGCAGCCAATTGCCTTGGACCTATTAAGCGTTGGGGTTCAGGGTGTGGGTTGCACTGTGTGCAGATTGCTTGCCAATCACATTTGCAGCCAACAAGTGGTTCTAGTCAGTCAACCAGTGTATTCTGCTGTTGCCAGTTCTGTCAGTGCCTTGACATCCTGATAAACAACCCGTGCACCTGCACTTTGATGGTGGGCACTTTTGCAACCCAA